TTAGAAAAATTACTAATTCATATGACAGCTGTCAACTGTCAGGGTTTTAATTTGAAACAAAAGTCATGATCAGCATGTCAAAAAAAGTATTCGGTGGCATTTTTAAAGAGATTGTCTTATTTTTTGAAAAATTCATAGTTAATTTTACAGCTGTCAACTGTCAGGGTTTTAATTTGACATAAAATTTGTGATCAGCATGTCAAAAAACGTAATCAGTGGCATTTTCAAAAAGATTTTCTTAATTTTCTTTACATTAGCAGTTGATTTGACAGCTGTCAACTGTCAAACTATAAATTTTATGGCATATTCGGATTCCGCATTACAACAATACTGCGATCCCGCCTTTTTTCATATTCGTAACAGCCCTTCTAATTTTTCGCGTTTAACATGACTTTTCCGACCACTGTGCGGCCTCCCAACAGCAAATGGGTTTTATGAGCAGCTTCTCCTTGGTAGATGTACACTTGGAGGTTTGTCATTGCCTGCGGAAGGGCGACCGCTATTAGACAATTGCTTGTTTTTTGTTGATAATAATTATATAATTTCAAATTTATAAAAATTCGAAGCATGTCAACAAATTGTCGTCATACATGCATAGTTTTTATTCAGTTTTGTAGCCCATTAAATTTTAGTGCAATAAAGTGCATATGGTAAGTCCTTGCCACTTCAATCTTGCAATTTATTATATTAATTTTCATAATTCTTCTAGTTTAAAATTTGGACTTACATGGTTGTAGTCAGACTTTCATAAAAAAATAAACCTTAAATAAACAAAATAAAAATAGTCAAAACTTTTTAAAATGTCCCGTACCTACTTATTTTCCCGCTACTGTGTGGGTATCTTATCAGCCAATTTGTAGTGATTTTCAACAACAGAGAAGAGCGCTTTCTAAATTTAGACTTCCTTAAGGCCATTTTGTGAGGTAGGTTTTCAAATTTATCTGCCACTCATTTATCGGCACTGATCCCCAGTTTCACCAATCAATTTTAACATTTATGGGCATAAATTGTTTGAATATCAGGGAATTCGCCAAAATATTCTGAATAGAACAGTTAATATTGTGAAATTTTAGTTTTTGCTTTTACAAAACTTATAAAACTGTGCAACCTATTGATATTATTTAATTTGGTCATAAAGAACATGCATATAAATATATCCTTAATGTCACTGAAATCTCGGGATTTAAGCAACATCTTCAGTTTCTTGCATTTTATTTGCCTTATAAGCATAGTATCCCGCTCTCAAGACTTAAAGCTCAAAAACTTAGTGCAACTATCAAAACTTCTTACCTAGAAAAAAAAATTGATCGTAAATTGATTTCTTTAAGCAAACTGACAGCAGCGGAAATACACTTTTCCAAGCGACAGAAATATTTAAAAACATTCTGAAATTTTTCTTGAGAACGGGATGGTAGGCTATAAAATGAAATACCCTAGTATACATGAGAACTTACATACATATGAAGAAAAATTTAAAACCCAACATTTCATTTTATACATTTTACTTATAGAAAAAAAAAATAAAAACATAAATTATTTAATTATTTAATTAATATGTATCTCGGTTTTATACTTGTCTTGTTAGCGGATGTGTAGCATTTGAAACTCCGACATTTTCTACATATGCAACTCTCCTTCTAGTTAACCCTCTAGATAGAGATAACAATAGAAAAATTCCGTTTTGCAAAAAGAAATATATTTACCTCATTTAAATTAGTATTAGTACTAGTACACACTCTCAAGCCATAATATTTCTATAAGAAAATAATTTTCAACTGAAGCGTTCGGTGAGTTCAACATTGCGTTGGATTAGAAGCGAACTGGTTCGCTCGCCATTATCTTTTCAACAGTTGCGGACCAGTTCGAAATTCTGAAATTAAATAAATTAGATTTTTTCCATTGATTAAGATTTTATTTAAATTTTGAATTTTACGTAACTAACTTAAGTTTTTGTAGCATCGTAAGACTCGAAACTACGCCATCAGCATCGAAGCAATACTTTCGCGCGACGCCACAGCCGACAATGGCGATTATTTGTTTTTTTTTTTTTGGTTATTGCGGAATTTCAAAAACAGGTGTAGATGTTTCGAGTAGGCAGTTCTAGTTCTGAACGAGGAAATCGTCTCATAAACTGATGATATTCCGCCAGGGGTATATCATTTGTAGGTTCTAGATCAATTGGTCTTAACTCATCACATATGGGTATGTACATACATATTAGGGTGATACAAAATAACGAACCCTACAAATTTATGGCTATAATAGGACCGATTTACTGAGAATAAAATTCTCCCACTTGGAAAAGTTTTTATTCCAATTTTAAAAGGTGCCGGTGGGCATTTGAAATTTGACATGTAAACAAATATTTTTTTTCATTTAAAATGTTATAAATATTGAAAGGTTTGAGTGTGGCATTCAATTCTCTAAAAAACTACTCTAAAGTTGATGGTCTAGACTCAAAAATGTATATACTTACGCGCTATCAAAGTCGGAAAAAAGCAGACATATACAGTTTTAGGGCTTTATGATTGAAAATATTCATGCTAAAAGAAAAAACTTACACTGATGTTATACAAAATGTGCAGAAAATGTTGACTATGTGCTTCGTCTGTCGTCACAGCTCGATTACAATTTTGTATCAACGCTATACCTCGTTCAGCAATATCATTACCATATTGAGTACTCTTAATCGTCTCTAAGAGAACCAAGAGGGTATTTTTTCAAAGAATTTTATGCCCTACAAGAATATGCCTACAAAAAAAAATTTATCTCAAACGGTTCAATAGTTATATAATTTTTAATAAAAAATACACCTTTTTACATGTTATTTATATGGAAATTTCAACTGCCCACCGAAATCTTTTAAAATGTATGTAAACATTTTTCCAAGTGGGAGAATTTTCTCCTCAGCAAATATGTAATTTTAAGGCCATAAATTCATTAGGTTAGTTATTTTGGATCACCCTAATACCAATGTACGCCCTTAATCAACGAAAGTTCTTTTACGCCGTTGTTAATGTAGACAGAGGTTGATTAGCCAACCCCGGTTTGAATCTCAGCTGACGCAAATTGTTATTTAAATTTAAGAAAACGACTCTTTACCCATTCGAGTATAAAGGGTAGCAATCAGTCCCATCGAACAAGATACTCTAATAAAAGTGAGTGATAAACATAAATCAAAAGACTGATCCAGGAAACATCCCGGATTAGTTGCTTTTTTGCAGGTTGTGTACATTAGTATGACAAGTAATGTTGTGCAGCAGCTAATAGCTATTTGATCTCTTACCTAATATTGCCGGCGTGAGTTTTTCTATGCACGCACACAAGTGTTTCACATTTGATGAACCGAAATCCACTTGCGTGCGTGATTTGTCAGAGTTGAATTTTTGCCAAATTTTTGTAAGTTTCGTGAATAAAATTTGAGTTCATGGTTGCGCCAAAATGTCAAATGAGCACAAACGTCAAATCGAAATGTCACGCAACACAAATCTTGGAATTTATTTTGGCCTGTACATATGTATGTCTAGATCTAGTATTATTTGCGGCTGCTATTTGATGCTAACAGTCAGATTAAGTTTGTCTCTCATATTACATATACTGTACAGTGAACTGCTGGAGGCGGTACTTTTACTTCCCTGCTGGTCTCTGAATTCGTTGTATCTCCTCCAGAATGTGCCAAAAAGTGAGAGCCCTCTTAAATGTCTACCAAAGTGTTCAAAAATCACATAGCCGTTAATAGAATGACTTCTGTAGCATAGAAAGCTTTAAAAAGATTTGTTTGTGTTTTGGTTTTAGAGGAAAGAAGTTAAAAAAAACTAAACAACTCAACTCTATGCATTTTCGCTCCAGTTTTCGTGAACTATAAATTTTTTCTCAACTTACATTTAGTTACCTCTTGTATTTATGAACATATCTTTAGGAGCTCTATTTCATATTCTATTTTTCGTTCTGTAGCTTTATACTTTCCTTTGAACTTTTTATCTCTCCTTATAAAAAATATTAAACTTACGTACTTATATACATACATTCTTTCACTTATGTAATGCGCCTTTAAAATACTACTCGTACTGTACTTAAGTTTGGCTTCTATTTTAAGTTGGAAATGTTTTACACATTCATAAAATAATTTGTTGAAAAGCTAAATGCGAATCATTGCAAGCAGCGAACAATTTTATGCAAATCAAAAAGTATAAGATCCTAGCAATCACTCAACTAAACCAAATTTCAAAATTTCTTTACAAACGTAATTCATGCCTGATTTATCATTGCTTAACAATATTCATTCGATCAACATAACTCCTACGAAATGAATTTGGCGATCTTCGACGACGACAACCACTCCGATCTCCGATCATCCATCCATCGATTACTATGCTGATCGCCGATTAAAAAAACAGGGCTACCAACCTGGAACAGGTCCACGCCCAATGATGCAAGGCCGACCTACCGGTCCACAAATGATGGGCGGACAGCAGCCAGGCCAGCAGCCGTACGGTCCACANCATTTTTTCTTAACTTACATTTAGTTACCTCTTGTATTTATGAACATATTTTTAGGAGCTCTATTTCATATTCTATTTTTCGTTCTGTAGCTTTATACTTTCCTTTGAACTTTTTACCTCTCCTTATAAAAAATATTAAACTTACGTACTTATATACATACATTCTTTCACTTATGTAATGCGCCTTTAAAATACTACTCGTACTGTACTTAAGTTTGGCTTCTATTTTAAGTTGGAAATGTTTTACACATTCATAAAATAATTTGTTGAAAAGCTAAATGCGAATCATTGCAAGCAGCGAACAATTTTATGCAAATCAAAAAGTATAAGATCCTAGCAATCACTCAACTAAACCAAATTTCAAAATTTCTTTACAAACGTAATTCATGCCTGATTTATCATTGCTTAACAATATTCATTCGATCAACATAACTCCTACGAAATGAAATTGGCGATCTTCGACGACGACAACCACTCCGATCTCCGATCATCCATCCATCGATTACTATGCTGATCGCCGATTAAAAAAACAGGGCTACCAACCTGGAACAGGTCCACGCCCAATGATGCAAGGCCGACCTACCGGTCCACAAATGATGGGCGGACAGCAGCCAGGCCAGCAGCCGTACGGTCCACAAGGTCAAATGGGCGCACAACGTTTTCCCGGCCAGCGAGGGCCAGCGCCGGGTCAAATCCAGGGCCAGATGCAAGGCCAAATGCCCGGCCAAATGCAGGGTCAGATGCAGGGTCAGATACAGGGCCAGATGCAAGGTCAGATGCCCGGTCAAGTTCCGGGTCAAATGGGCGCTCAAATGACCCCCGGACAAATGCAGGGTCAAATGCAAGGTGCTATGGGTCCGCGTGGCCCTCTCAATCCACAACAACAAATGCAACAACAGGCGCAAATGGGCATGGGTCCCGGGCAGCAGCCACTAACCCAACAACAACAACAGCAACAACATTTGGCGGCACAAAAGAAGCCGCGCTATTTCGTTGCTATGTTCGACTATGATCCAAGCACAATGAGTCCTAATCCAGATGGATGCGACGAAGAACTGCCATTCCAAGAAGGTGATACAATTAAGGTAGGTGGTAGTGTTGTGGGGTAGAAGAAACTAGTAGATTATGTAGTAGACGTATAGGAGTAGTGCACAGGGTTAAGGGTGGCTATGAAATGAATTTTTAAACATATGTTTACAACATATACAACAACAATACATATACTACATATGAATATACATATTTATGTACGNTTAGTAGATTATGTAGTAGACGTATAGGAGTAGTGCACAGGGTTAAGGGTGGCTATGAAATGAATTTTTAAACATATGTATACAACAACAATACATATACTACATATGAATATACATATTTATGTACGTATGGTTAAGTACGGAGCGAGAAACACCTTTGATGGTGCATTGAGGTGAGCTAGTGTAAGTGCAAAAGCGCATAGAGGAGCGCTATGGAGAGACCATCGAAGAGGAAAGTGGTGTCTCGAATACCCAGCTTTACAATTTTAAAGGTAAAAAGGCATACCACACACACACACATATTTACATACAAGCATACATACAAAACATGCATACCATCACAACAAATTCGTTTTTAAGTTACATATTACNCGAAAGTGGTGTCTCGAATACCCAGCTTTGCAATTTTAAAGGTAAAAACGCATACCACACACACACACATATATTTACATACAAGCATACATACAAAACATGCATACCATCACAACAAATTCGTTTTTAAGTTACATATTACCTTGGCGAATCGGAGAGTAAATGAATCGGTTATAGTAATCGGGTGACCACTTACTAGCAGTACACACATCTATTTCAGTCCACCTATCAATAAGTATTTAGATTTACAAGAATTTCTCACACTTAACCAAACTTGCATGTCTTAACCGTTAGTCAGTTGCTATACGATATTTAATCATCCGCTGTAGTCTTGTGTTCGGAATATGAAAACAAATCCATTTTGAAGACTTTCCCATTAAGAGTTTTCGATATTCTTATGAATTGTATGTAATTGTTTAGTNCAACTCCATTTTGAAGACTTTCCCATTAAGAGTTTTCGATATTCTTATGAATTGTATGTAATTGTTTAGTGGTATAAATATTTGTTGAGAAAATCATACAGAAATTATCTATATATATTTGCTAGATTTGGCTTGAAATTAAAACTCATCACGTCTCCTTATACTCCACGCAGGTTTATGGCGACAAGGACGCCGATGGCTTTTACTGGGGTGAATTGCGCGGTCGTCGCGGTTACGTGCCTCACAATATGGTTACCGAGGTGGACGATGGCACCGGCGGTATGGGTCCTATGCCGGGCGGTCCACCGCAGCCTGGTGGCCCGGGTCAAGTGATGCCCGGCCAGGGTGGTCCACAGCAAAGTATGCGCAATGTGAGTCGTGATCGTTGGGGCGACATCTATGCCAATATGCCGGTGAAACGCATGATCGCACTGTATGACTACGATCCGCAAGAGTTGAGTCCGAATGTGGACGCCGAGGTGAGTGAGGCGCATTTATAAAGAAGTTACAGTATTTCTACCCTATGATGTATTAAATGCGATTTGATATTATTCAGCGTAAGGAAGCCAGTTCCGGTTTCTTAGGTGGTTTCATAGATGACCTCTTTGGTACAACCCCAACAACCAAAAAAATGTCACGTAAAGTGAGTGATTTTAATGGTTTCTTTAGTTTCCTTCGCTCCATGTAAAATTCCCTGTATTTGCGGAATGCTTGAAATTTTGGAACAGTTCAATATCCCAACCAAAACCCCTTTAACGAGTACCATGAAACGCTTTGAGTAAACAAAGCAGTACCAATAAGATGAGCTCGTTACTAGGGCAATACCAACTCTGCGCCGTTTCCTTCTTCTGTCTGTTTCCTTGTACCCAAAATATCATTTAGAAGGATCCGTTGGCAAGCCCCTGAAATGTGGAATAGATGCTACCTAAAATCCAAATTTTCGCTAGCCAAAAAGCATCAACTAGTTTAGTTATCAGAGCAAATTTTAAGTATGCTATTTATAAGAGGTTTCGTAAAAGAGAACAGAAATTAATTAATTTAAATTTTAATTCAGTGCAGAATATTTTTGTATCTGTCCACGGGACATGAATTTATCACAACACTTTATAGGTCAAGAAACAGCCGAGACAAGGTTTTGGCGGCTCTCACTTTTGGGATCGCATTAGAAGAAAACAAGTTTTCATTAATTAATATATTAGACAGTGTTAGAGCAAATGAAGTTGAGGGCCTTGTATTTATAAAAGGGGACTAGTAAGTTTTTATATGTCACTATAGCCACTAGTTGTTTTGCACCGAGACTAAATAACTTCGCCAAATGGCCCTGTCCTTTATGAAGATACACGTACGCGTCGAGCCCGCGAACAGGGCCATATATCGTGCGTTGAAGAGATCTCTTGATAGTCCCACAGCGTTCTCATGAACACCGTCTGCGTTTCTAGGCCATGTAAAAGGACGGATATGATGAAAGATGTGGCTTTTGTTCTATGTTCGTCTAGAAAGGGCTCTAATTTTCCACTGCACCGGTTGGCAAGAGTTATCCTTTGCTTGATCTCCAAGACTGCCTACAGATACGTGTGTCCCAATAGGCGTAGACTAGAGATGGGCACGGGACTAAATATTCAATCCCGTTTCCGCCGGTTCCGAAATTAAATTTTTAAGTCCAGAACCCGCCTATCCCGACGTTTTCCAGAATTGTACCGTGGGGCTCGTAGGCCCGGATTCACATATCTTTCAAATTAATTTTAAATAAAAAACTAATGCAAGTTTTCTATCCTACGCCTTTTTTTTGATGTTTGCGGTACGGTTTCGTCTAAATAAAACATAAGAAGTACTTATTTGCGGAAGTGTCGGAAATGGATTTTGATCCCACCCCGCTAAATTTTTAAAGACCTTCCTGATGCCGCCCATCCCGGCCATTTTGAAACCAGTACCATAATTCATGGGTCCCGCGGGTCCCGATATCTCCCATCTCTAGACTCTATGTTTGTTAGTTTTCATTCACCGCTAGACCAAACATTTGGTCTCTTTAAGTTGTGCTGACGGCCTTAGTTTTGAAATTTATCCTCTCAGAGATTATACATAAGTTTAGGATAACGTCTTGTTTGGCGCGGCTCTTGCGTCCCCGTTCGCGCTTTTTAAGCAACGTGAACAACCCATATTCGAGAATCGGTAACCAGCCCCTGGGGAGAATNAAGTTTAGGATAACCTCATGTTTAGCGCGGCTCTTGCGCCCCCGTTCGCGCTTTTTAAGTAACGTGAACAACCCATATTCGAGAATCGGTAACCAGCCCCTGGGGAGAATTGGGTCACGTTAGAAAGAGAGAGAGCTCCCTTGGGCTCACTACAACTTATTCGTTTCAAAGGTACATGAAAATATTCGGGACTTTAAATGAATACATCGTTGGTTTATTTGCGTGAAAGTTGAAAACTTGCTATCCCCGATTTTTCCACGCTATTGGCGAGCGCTCTTTTAAAAACGNTTGGGTCACGTTAGAAAGAGAGAGAGCTCCCTTGGGCTCACTACAACTTATTCGTTTCAAAGGTACACAAAAATATTCGGGGCTATAAATGAATACATCGTTGGTTTATTTGCGTGAAAGTTGAAAACTTGCTATCCCCGATTTTTCCACGCTATTGGCGAGCGCTCTTTTAAAAACGGCATCTCAAACATTTTATTAAGTACTTGACCGAGCTGATCATAGAGGTAATAGAATCAAAGAAACTCCTTGCAGGCAGCAGTTCCTACATTTCGCTGATTTTACGGAGAAGCCATGCATTTTATCAACTTATTTTTGCCTTTACTTAACCCACGAAAGCCATGCTTCTACAAATCGATGACGCAATACGTGTTTGCTAGTCAAATTTAAAAATGTATGCTTATCTTTCTATTTAAAAGTTAGACATGTTAAATTTTCACACATTCACATAATTTTGTTATTCCCTTGTTATTTTCTCATAGACTGTTTCCTTCCAAATTTGAGTTAAAGTTTTGTTAAGAAATGTTAATAAAAACCAACGAAAGTGAAAAAATAATAATTCTATTTTTCAATCTCGGGACCTGGGCATCTAAANACATAGACTGTTTCCTTCCAAATTTGAGTTAAAGTTTTGTTAAGAAATGTTAATAAAAACCAACGAAGTGAAAAAATAATAATTCTATTTTTCAATCTCGGGACCTGGGCATCTAAAAAGGTGGTTACCCTATTACTCACACATGGTGATGTTTAAGGCTCAATTACTGAAAGCATAATGTTAATGTTAACGACATGAAATTCGGTATTCATTCTACTAAAGATATTAGCAATTAGTGACACGCATGACAAGATATTAGTGACACTTAAAGGTACTTAGACTCGAGACTTTTAAGCCTCTCCTCGTAGATCATTATGGGTTTTTTTTAGCAATTGCCACCGACACAAAGAGAATACTTTTCATGGTCGCCAATAAGGGCTCAATATCTTCTACCATCACGACTCAGCGATTTGAGGCGGTCAGGAATGGCTTCATATTTTTTGAGAACCTATGTATGCATAGCATATAACAGCACTCAGAAAGAACTTACGTATTTAGATTTCAATACGACTGAATTACGCTTTAAAATAAAACCTTTTCGTAGAGCGAATTAGCTTGTNCATTAGTGACACTTAAAAGTACTTAGACTCGAGCCTCTCCTCGTAGATCATTATGAGTTATTTTTAGCAATTGCCACCGACACAAAGAGAATACTTTTCATGGTCGCCAATAAGAGCTCAATATCTTCTACCATCACGACTCAGCGATTTGAGGCGGTCAGGAATGGCTTCGTATTTTTTGAGAACCTATGTATGCATAGCATATAACAGCACTCAGAAAGAACTTACGTATTTAGATGTCAATACAACTGAATTACGCTTTAAAATAAAACCTTTTCGTAGAGCGAATTAGCTTGTCCTACTTTCTTTGAGTATTAGTTTTAAGGGCCCGGTTTCTCGGATCACTTCCTAATTTCTAAGCGTCTCATTCGCTCAATTGGCAGGAGTACGACTAAAGGGTTAAAGGGGCATATCCAAAATAGCTCAAAAAATTGTTAGATAAACGACCACCGCAATATAGTCCTAAGTATTTGGCGATCAACACGTTAGCTGTTTTCGGTCGAAACTTATGTCGAAGTGTATGTACCGAGGTTGCAGGACATCGGTAACCCTGCCTTGGGCTATTTGAACGTTCAAACAGTTTGCAAATAAAGTAAATAAAAAAGATACGCTAGCCTTTAATACTGGACTTTAACTCCTCAGTTCCTACAGATTTAGTATGAATAGTATAGCAGTAATGACAAAAACAACTGCACAACAATAACCTCAGCTCATTTATACCTTGTCATCATTTTAAGTCAAGCTGACTTTTATATTCTTCTTTATTCCATTTGATTGCATTTCCTGCAACAATGACTTTTAATCTATTTATATGTTGCTGTTTTTTTTTTTGCAAACCAACAGCAGGTGGAATTGAGCTTCAAAACGGGTGAGATAATACTCGTTTATGGTGATATGGACGAAGATGGTTTCTATATGGGTGAATTGGACGGTATACGGGGTCTTGTACCGTCGAATTTCCTCGCCGATGCACCCGATCAGTACAACAATCAAATGGGCCCGGCGGGACGTGGTGGCTTGAGTCAGCGGGGTAGAGGACAAGGCCCCGGCGCTAGAGGGCCACCACCGCCTCCCAGAGATAATATGATGCCCGGCATGGCCGGTCAGCGAGGTTCAACCGGCAAACGTAAGTGAATTTTGTATCAATTTCTTTGTCATTTACACTTATACATACATACATATATGTATGTACATGCATACATATACATTTGTATTGTATACATATACATACGTGAAAATATTTGTCTGTATGTACGCATAACTTGCTCGTGCTACTTAATATTAATCTACTAACAAACAGTAAACAAGGCATAAAAAACAACAAAAAAGAATATTAAAAAAAAAAAATAAAACAGGAAAACGACAAATTACTTATATACAACAACAGCAATACGTGTACTTGTATTTCTTATAACTGTCTTTTTTCTGCAATTTTTATGTGATTATAAGTTTGTAATTTTTATTCTATTTTCATTTTTTCATTTCATTTTTATTTGCCTTCGAATGAAACAATAAAATGTACAGTTGAAGGTCAGTTTCTACAAACAGTTAATTGCTATGTACCTACTTATTGTATAATACTATATTTATACATATGTTTATGAAATACATACATATCTACTTACATAATTTGATTTTATTTAACCTTTTTATGTGATACTACATTTTCAATTCAGTTACGCATAAAACAAAAACAAAAAACATAAAAAAAAATTTTATACATAAATGCAAATCGCAACTAAATAGCTAATTAGGAGACCAGAAACAATTTGCAAAGAAATATAAAGATTTTTAATATTTTTTTTGCGTAAACCACGGTGACCAGACACATACTAGAAAAAACTAAGCGTAAATTTTTCTCAGTGCATACAAATCAGCGCGTTTACTAAACTCAGGTTGTGCTTAAAAAATACTTATTTTCATTCACTGTAGGTATGACTACTACTTATAAAATAATAAATGAAAGTAAATTATTTTTTCTGCAAAACTAACGAAAATTTATACAGCAATACTGCGTTTCCAATTAACCAAACATAAAAACAGTATCTAATAAACTTAAGACGAGCGAAAAGTCAGTTACATTTAAGTTTTCTTTTAACTTGGTTTTCTTCCAGCTAAGCTATGCTAAAACATACAATCTACTATTTATATATATATATTTTTTTTTTAATATAAATTACCTTTTCTACATTTGGAGTTTTTCCTGTCTCGTTTCTTTCCATTTTTTCATTTCTTACGTCCATATTAAGAAAGTTACAAATTTTTACTCTTGCAGTTTAATATATAGTTTTTCAAAGTTAATACATTTAAAAGCTTCCACAATCCTTTTCTTCCAAATTACTACATACATACATATATATTTTATAGTTTTTTCGGCACAAGTTCCTTATTTTTCTGTACCATTCTTACTTTAACCTAAAAAAGAAAGTGTTTGCAAAATATAAATAGTTGTTGTTCTTGTTGTTGATGTTGTACTTGTTTTTTTTTGGAATGTGACTTTAAAAAAAATTATTTGAATCATAACTTATCTTAAACAAAGTTTAAACACCGGGCGCGTTTCGGGCTCTGTGAAGTGGTGAAGTGAAAGGAAATGATTGGTTATCAAGGAAAAGTATAATTTTGTTTTTTTTTTCCTTTAAAAAATATTTCAGTAAATGTATACTTTTGCCAAATTTTAATAATTTTATGCGAAGCTTTAAAAATTGTTCACTTCTTCGTTTCACAGAACGGCGATCGCCCTCTAGAGGCGATATCTATTCTAGGGTGGAATAGGGAAGTGAATACAAAATGTTGACGCCAGAGAGAAGAACTAGAGCTTTAACCGATACGAAACGTTATGCTGTCCAAGTACGTCAGGTATTTTATGGAGAAGCGGGTACAAGTGCAAGGCTTTAACGTCAGTTCATGCTTTAATGCGATACAAAATAAACTGAATATGCATTTAAATTCAATAAAAACAGGAAAATATTTCATGAAAACTTATTTGGCTATGTTCCAAATGTATCTAAAATCTGAAATTGTTCCCACTTTCTCAGCACTGGCTCACGCTAGGGATGTAAATTTTGTGGCTTTTTACGATCCTGGGATTTTCGGGATGTCGTTATCACAATCCCGGGATCCCGGGATTAGTCCTGGGATTTAGATATTCATTACATTTCAGGAACTTAAATCGAAAAAATTGCTTATAAATTGTTTCAGAAGCTCGTCTACTTTGTGTTTGTTATTTATGGCCTTATAACAATTATATTCAACAATTTTTATTAAGCTTGAGGCCGTTTTAAACTATTGTGGAAAAGCAACAATAGTTTGAAAAAACGTTAGAAGTGAGAGCTATTTCGGAAATCACCACGTTTCCTCATCAGACTTCTTTCACTGGGATTCGATCCAACGACCCCAGCTGACTCATCCTACCATAAAATATATAGTGAATAAATGGGTTTGAAACCTACTTTTTTATTTAAAGTGGCGGTTTTATTTTTTCTCTCTGATGTCAGGATTTATTTTAAAGGACTTTGAAACCACAGAGATAAGTATGATTAATTCCAAAAGTTAATTAAAAAATTCAATGCATTGTAGAATAAAAATATGGGTAAATATATATGGTACAAATAAAAGGAAGCAAAGAAGGAAGGAAATTTCTTTAGAAGTTAAAAAACTTGAAATTTTTTGGATTTACAAGGACTAATAGGCCATTATTTAAGCTGATAAAGTTAGAAGGACGAAATTCGAGGATGTTATCGAGTTTATATAAGTCCTTAACATATAATTTTTTCAAAAATAAATATTGCGAAATTTCAAGGAAAAAATTTTAAAAGGACATTTGCAATACTTACAAGTCCATGTGCATAAAAAATCTGATTAAATTCTACAGACTTTCTTCTTCAACTTGATACCCACACTTCTTCTCTAGGCACATTCCACCGAATTTTTTAAATCATTTTGGAATTACTTAACCCAGGGTGAAAAACTAAAAACGCAATTTTACAATATTTGGATCATGTTTTCACGAATATATCAATTTTTGTGTGTAAAATTTACTATCGCACGGTGTTGTATGTATAATGAGCTAGACATTTATGAAAGAATATAAATTATTAAATAAAAATAAATATAGCCAATACTGCTCAAGAAAAGGAGTTTCAATTATTGCCATCAAAATTAAAATTTCCGAAAATCCCTGGAATATTTGCCAAGAATCCCCGAATTTTTAGAACCTAAAAAAGTCCGGGATCTCTGTGTTAACATTCCTAGTTCACGCTCACCGGAGAATTTCCTTGAAATCTCGAAAATCTTAAAAAATTCCCGCTCTGAAATATTTTTCATACAAATTTCGATGTTTTATGTTGCTCTCACTTTACTGCTTCATAACCTGACTTGGCACCTTAGGTTATGGTTACTATGCATGCTTATTCTGACGAACTTTTGTTCTGACGATTTCGTTGCGACAAAAAAATACGTCTTTGCTTGTTTGTTTCTTATTTTTTTGGTCCGAAGTTATCGTCAAAACTAAAGTTCGTCAGAATACGCATGCATAGTAACCGTAGCCTTAAAATGATTTCCAAAATATCAAAACACATTCATGAGACTTTTAACATTTCCTAATCTTATTAATTTTATAGACATACATATGTACATACATACATATATGGGTATTTCCATAGAACTTGGTTGATATTGAAATAGATGTTAAAAATTTTTCAAATAAAATCATCGTAATTAATATTAATTTAACTTTAAAATTAGCAAAAGCTGCCTGGTAAGAAATTAAATCAGTCTTAAGAACGCAATCACGAACACAAAAACGGAATTATAACGATTCAAATTTTATTAAAAAAAAAATCGAAAATAGAATACTTTGAAGATATTTTACCGTGAATAAATTCAATTTGAAACTGCATTATCGTCGCCGCAGCGGTGAAAGCTTCTAACTCCACTTTTCGGTGAAAATAACGGGCGGAAGGTAAATAATTTTGTATTTCCCAGCAAACATTGTGGTAAGTTACCGATTAGAGAACGAATGGAGAACTAGCCACATTCTCCCATCTCAAACGTTAGAGAACGACTCGAAAACTATCGAGAATCATAGCGATCTCAACAAAAATGGGACATAGTTCTCGATGCGAGAAAATATTAATTCTCTAATCGAGTTCTAATGTTGATCTCTAATGGGATTCGAATGTGAATTTCAAACTGCTGTTTTGCTTTATTAAATAAAACGCTTTGTTGTAAAGTTTGTAGTAAGAAAAATATTTTAAAAATAGTTCTTGAAAACCCCAATCTTTTTTAACCACGTTTTTTTATAGAGAATTAAACAAGGATTACGATCATATAATTTTAAATCCCTAATTTATTGGCCTTCACTATGCAAATCAACTTCAAAAAGTTCAGCTGTTAATAGCTAAGTTAGCTTTAGGACAATTTTGACCATCTTATTTGTGGAAATATTAAGCCCGTTTCTTTAGCTTTAAAACGACGTTAAGATGAAATCTCTACGATGGGCAGAACCCGAGATATAACGATTTGAAAGAGTACATGACTATTCAGAATCACGAAGAGATGCAAACTTTGACAGATCCTATCTCCAAAGAAAAAACCAAAAAAAAATCCTCGAACACGTGTTAGCCTATTTCATGTATAGAACCCATAAAAAATTTGAAGCCAATCGAAAGTGTGACACCAAATCTGGTGACGGATATGAAAAAAAAATTACTCAATAGGGCCGAATATATCCGGTTTTGTTAAAAGTTATGTGGATTTTCAATTTTAATAGAACAAAGAGGAAATTATCAGAAAAAGTTATTGACGCAAGGCCAATAAAATCTTGCGATGAAGCAGCTGATACATCACCTTAAAACTTTTTGGAAGTTAAGTTTTGACGAGCCAATTTTCCTTATACTTAAGCCCTGTATGTAGCTCTCAAGAAAACGGTTAAGAAAAAATTGCCATTATTTCGCGTGTGTGTCCAAGGAATTTTGACATTTTTGATACCTCACAGCCTGTTGCCTCACTCTTTCCTCAATAAATAATGGAACGGGCATATATTTCTGATGCAAGCCTGGGCTGCCTTGTGCTCTTTTTTCACAAAAAAACTTTAGAAAACCGTACTAGCAAACGTAGTAAATTTCT